CGAGCCGCACGCCTCCCACCCGCCTGGGCTGGGCCCCGGGCAGCCGTCTGCCGAGGGCTCTGAGCCTGAACCAGACCCTGATCAGCCTCAGCAGTCGCAACTGGGACCAGCTTCCTCTGAACACCAGGGAGCACGGCAAGGGTCTGATCAGCCACAAGGACCCGACCAAGACCCCTACTACCAAGCACAAGACCAAGGAGGAGATGTTGGCCAGACCCATGCACCAGGACAAGCACTGGATCAACCACAGACCCCAGTTCAACATCTCCAGGGAGCACAAGAAGCCTCTTACGAGCCAGAGGTGCCAGAAATAGAGAGCAGCCAGAGCTACGTGCCAGGACAAGGCCCTCATGCACAGCAGGCAAGGCAGCACATGTATCAGTCATACGCACTGGGATTAGACCCTAACCAAATACAGCAACCAGAGAGCGCCTACGAGACATACGCAGAAGGACGAGATCCCTATCAAGCTTATGAATGTGAGCACGGCCCCTATCAGCCACATGAACCTGGTTACGGTCTTTATCAGCCAGGATACGGTCCATACGATGATCAGGTACCCAATCTCAAATCTCAAATGCTGGCAATCCAGAACGCAAAAGCCTATTTACTGAAGAGCAGCACAACATCTGGTCTGAACTTGTAAGTCTGAAAAAGGGACATAATTGAAAGGGGTAGGAAGTTTGAGTGGAGAGAAAAGTGGTGTTGGTAAAATGGCAAAGGGTTATGTTAAGAAAGGAGAGGGAATGCCAAGGGTTTATGTATAGAATGGGACGATATGCTATAAATGCAATATCACTATGTGATACTTGTGAGTGTCCAACATCTTTCAGAATCAAAATTCTTAAGGGAATTTATAAAGTTCAAACAGAAATTACTTTGATTAAGAGCAAGCTTAAATTTAGCTTCAGCCTGAGGCAGATGCAGTATATACCAAATATGGAAGGTGGCACCACTCCTAAGTATATTATAATCAGGCTAGTTTCAAGTCTAATTTCCAACAATATGCCATGGTCTCCTCTTGTTTAACTATTCCAATGATTTCTCAAAACCTCCAAGTGATTAGCTTCTATTTTTGACATTAAAACTATAATATTCTAAGAGTTTTGTATAGTAGTGCAATAATATTTACATTTATACAACAGATACGATCATCTTGCTAATATGCTAACAAAAATCCTGGATGAACATCCTGCAAATGCAGTAGATATAATTGAGAATATCAGCAAGGATGTGAAGTGGGCTCAGTTTCAGAAAAAGATGGATACTCTTCGAGATGAACATGAGATTCTTCCAACATTTGAAGCTGCAGAAAAGCGTAAAGCTTTGTTCCTCAAGGCAAATGGAGAAGGAGATGAAGAACTAGAAGAAGAGATAGTGAGTTATTATCAGAGAAAAACAGATATCATATATGCCAGGAAATGGGTGGGTGGATGGTGGGAAGGGAAAGGAGGAAGAGAGGAAGTTGTGCTCTCCTTTGTAGTATTGTCTCTTATGATTATATAAATAATTACAGGCACAGTACCACATACTCTCTTCATAGCTGAGCTGGTCCCATGTCAAGTTGTGAAGAAGAAAACTGGTTACTTAGTGGGGATTTTTTCCTGTATTAAATCTAATCTTGAGCCTCTAAAATCATAGATGTTCTAGATGATGAACAGAAAGTAAAGTTTACAATATCTCCCATATGCCAGTTCAGAACAGAATATTGCATCTGAATTCATTTCTTTTACCTAAAAGTGGCATTTCTTTACCTAAAGTGATCATAATTCTGGACACTAATTCGAGAATATTGTGCACAGCTGCTACTGTAAAATAGAGAATGGAGAATTCTGTGATCCTTCCAGCTCTAGCTGTGGTTCTAGTCTGTTCTTCTCCAACTTGAAAGGAATATGATTATAATGAAGAACTACTAGAGTTGAAAAGCCACTTCTTAAAATGGGATTTTTCAGTATTAATTTGCTTACATGCAGAAAGATTTGCACCCAATGAAAAAATAAAAGAATTTTTATAATAACCAAGGAAAAAATAATCAACAAGATGTTGTTTTTCTTATGAAGTTACCAGTATATATTTAAATGAATTGCCATTGCAGAATACAAATACTAAAGCCAGAAAAAGTAGTCTTTCATCTTGCCTATAGCCTATTACTTATTTTACAGTAACAGTATATGATGGTAAAAATGGAAAAATTTGGAAAGGAATTTTGATTTTTTCATACTCCTGTGTATCTTGCTTCTCTATAAGAAACTGGAAGGGCCAAAGAAATTCCACATGAAACTAGCACTACTTCTTCCAAACTCACTACCGTGCCTTGTACCATTTCTAATATCTTGCTCTATGTGGTATAACCACCTACCCTCATGAAATGGAGAAGGATGATAAAGTGAATGGAAATACGTAATGAAATCTTCATTATCGGCCTAGTTCTGCTTCCACTGAAGCCAGCTGGAGTCTTATTACAGACTTCAGTAAGAGCAGGAGCCAATATTTTAAAAAACGCAAGTAGCTTTATGCTAAGTTTTTCAAAACAACAACATTCCAGAGAAATATTACTGTTCTTGTGCCTACATATAAAATATGTATTATATTTTCCCCAAATGCATCTGCCAGAAACACAAGGAAACTTAAATGTCTTTTCCAATTTAAATGATTCTATGATTCTATACATAGCTGACATGCTGTAGCACTGAAGTCCTTTGTAGATCCTATTTAGAAATTCAGACTTTCCTTATCTTGCAGTAATTAGTTTCAATTTTGAAATCCTGTATTCTAAAAGCTACAGTTCACCCGTGTTCTCTTCTTTACCTTTAAAATGGCATTTTTAATTTTTCTAAATGGTAGTGGAAGATGTAGTGAATGAATGTCTTCAAAGCACTTTGAGAGAATGAATGGCACTAAAGGAAAGTGAAGTATAACGTTCAGCGGATAACGTTTAATGTTTCAAATAGATAATTATACTATTTTTCAGCTCTAACTCCAGATCTTCTTTCACAGGGTGAGACCCCTCTACCTAATGTGATGGAAACAGCCTTTTATTTTGAACAGGCTGGAATTGGCTTGAGCAAAGATGAATCTTATCACATATTCCTTGCCCTTAAAAAACTAATTAGTGTTCAGCCAATCCAGACCTGTCGCTTCTGGGGCAAAATTTTGGGCCTGGAGATGAACTATATTATAGCTGAAGTACAGTACCATGAGGGGGAAGAGGAGGAGGAGGAGGAGGAAATAGAAGAGGAAGTTACTGAGGAAGGAGAGAAAGAGGTAGGTGAGGTCAAAGATGAAGATGAGGAGAAAAAAAAAGAAGACGAACCACCAAAGTCCACCTATAAGCCCCTACCCATCATCCCAAAAGAAGAAAATGGGACTGGGGCTAACAAATATGTCTACTTTGTCTGTAATGAGCCAGGCAAACCCTGGGTGAAGTTGCCTCCAGTGACGCCAGCCCAGATTGTCTGTGCCAGGAAAATCAAGAAGTTCTTCACCGGCAGGCTGGATGCTCCTGTCGTGAGCTTTCCTCCCTTCCCTGGAAACGAGGCCAATTACCTGCGTGCACAGATAGCTCGGATCTCAGCAGGGACGCACGTCTCTCCCATTGGATTTTACCAGTTAGCAGAGGAGGAAGAAGAAGAGGATGAGGGGGGCACAGGAAGAGATACGTATGAAGAAAACCCTGATTTTCAGCCTCTTTCTGTGGCTGAAATGGTAGATTCTCTCTCCACATGGGTACACCATGTACAGAGTATTCTAGAGCAGGTACGTTCTGGCATAGCTCACGTTAGCCTTGGGTACCAGTCACTCTGCAGTACTTGTAGGGTTTCCGAATGTAAATGACACTCCTCACCCACACATTTGAACTGTTCATCAGAAATGGCATTGGACTGAAATATTTTTCTACAGACAATGCATTTGATATAGTATATAATATATAAATATGTTGCACGTATTTACAGATAGCATATATATATATATATATGAACCTTGTAAGTTTAGTACTTTTTACAATGGTGTGTTATTGAGACTGAAACCTATCTTTCAGTTACAGCATGGAGCTAGGCCTTGATAGATAACAATAGTTTCTAGTAGTCTTCTATATTAGGTTTTCGTTTTTGAAGGCCTTACTTGACAAAACTGCTTTAAATTCTCTTTTCTTGGGTAGGATGCTAAGATGCAGATAGATAGCTCATGATTGTATGCCATATGACACTTATTTGATGTTTTCTTCTAGTTTGTTTTTTGTTGCTTACACTTACAAATGAAAAAGCTTAAAATCTTGTGATATCGGGCTAGTGCTAGAAAGAGGTATTACTAATTTGATGATCATTGCTGGAAGACTTGCTGGCCAGTCTACTAATTCAAGAATGCTAGTGTAAAATAACAGCAAATGGTATGAAATAAGATTTAAAATTATTATCTGGAAAACAATACTTGTAAAAAGAAAATCTGTATGCATTAGAATCTTAAGAACATTTTGTTATATTCCTCTCACTGGCCCCTAAATTACAAGGCAGGCTTTAAAACTAGAAATTAAGCCTCTTAATTTACAGTAACTGTTAACTAGCAAGGATATAAACCAAACTGGCAAGAAACTGAAGACTACAAAGTAACAAAAAGGTGACGACAGAGGTATAAGGTTGTTCTGAAATAGTAAGCGGGGATGAAGGAGGAATAAGGGAATTCTCTCCCAGGAGAACAAAACATTCTGCCAACAATATACCAATTCCTAATATATTTTTCTTTTCTTCCCCTCCTTCCTTAACTGTGTGTGCATGTACCTAAGCCAATTGTTTTAACTGACTTGCATTCTTTTAGTGATTGTTACATGTATTTATTATTTTCCCATATCCATTATAGGGACGCTGTGTTTGGTTCAATCCTTTTCAAAAATCAGAGGAAGAAGAAGAAGAGGAGGAGGAGGAGAAAGAAGAAGAGCCAGATGAACTAGAGCAAGAAATAGGACCACCTCTTCTCACTCCACTCTCTGAAGATGAAGGTATTCTTCACGGAATATGAAGGTTTTGGTTTTGATAGCCACTAGGAATGTTGGCACTTAGATAGTAAATATTTAAGTTATAAGGACTCTGATGCTTCATGGAGCAACGTAGCTTGCCCCTGTAGGGTAAGCACATTCTTTTACAAAATTGATCAAAACCAAAATGATAAGCAGTATTGACATTAAAACTGAAATAATTGGGTGGATTACTTAATCTCGTTGAGAATAAAGGGAAAAAATACCTCAGACTTCTCAGACTACTGAAAGTTCAATACAGCTCACCACATGAAATACATTCAGTGATTTTTCCATCAACTTTTTAGGCAAAAAAAAAATGCATGTGCATGTGTAAATAAATACATATATATACACATAGATGCATGCATAGATATACAAATAAGAATTTAGATCCTGTAGCATATTACTGCAGCAAATCATTGGAATATGGGAACTTGAATATTAGATTGCATCAACAGTAAATTTTTTCCTACTCTCCATTCTTTGATCAAGGTGAAATAAAACTGTATAATTTATCCATAAGTGATATAAAGTCCTTGACAGAAGAAATAGCAGTGAATACTACTGAATTTGAGGAGCACGATCTTTTCTGTGTGTGGCTTTATTAGCATTCCTGTGCTACCTCCCCATACATGCAAACTACCTCTTTGAATGCAGCACCTACATTTATTGTTTCTGACGTCTGGCTCTTCTAACATACAACCTAATATAACCATTGCTTGAATTCTGTGCAAGTCTTGAATATTTTGTAGAGGCTTGTAAGTCATTTTATTCATACTATGTGTGTTTGGCTGCCTCCAGGAATGGAAAACCTCCCTGCCTGGACAGCTCGCCCTTCTACAGACGTGATCCCACAATATGCTGTTGCAATCCTGCAGTCCAACCGATGGCCGGGAGCATATGCCTTTGCATCTGGCAAGTGAGTAGCTAGCTGACATGGTTACAACACAGATTGTATATGCTAAGTACAAATACCTCTCTAATGAAGTCAAATTGCTTTATTATTAATTCATTGACTGAACTCTATCTATTCTGGAGAGTGATGGAGAAGACCACTCAAATGTGCACAGCAACAGTAAATATGCATTTAAGACTGAAAATGAATATAATTGGAAAGGCTTTTATAAAGTTAATGGATGTAAACGTCCAGTTAGTGTTTGGGCACAGTCATAGAATCATAGAATTGTCGGGGTTGGAAGGGACATTAAAGATCATCTAGTTCCAAGCCCCCTGCCATGGCCAGGGACATTCCTCACTAGATCAGGCTGCTCAGAGCCCCATCCAGCCTGGCCTTAAAAACTTCCAGGGATGGGTCTTCCACCCCCTCTTTGGGCAACCTGTGCCAGTGTCTCACCACCCTCATAGTGAAGAACTTGTTCCTAACATCCAATTTGAATTGACCCATCTCTAGTTTTAATCCATTCCCTCTAGTCCTATCACTACCTGACATCCTAAAAAGTCCCTCACCAGCTTTCTTGTAGGCCCCCTTCACATACTGGAAGGCCATAATAAGGCCTCCTCACAGAATCACAGAATGTTTGGGGTTGGAAGGGACCTCAAAAGATCATCTAGTCCAGCCCCCCTGCCAGAGCAGGATCACCTACAGTAGATAGGAGCCTTCTTTTCTCCAGTCCTTGATTTAAAACCTATATTCTTAAGTCTGCGGTACTTTTTACAAAAATAGCTACAGCAGGAGCAAGGATGGGATTCTGCCCCTGTGCTCAGCACTGGTGAGGCCTCCCCTCGAGCCCTGTGTGCAGGGCTGGGCCCTTCACTGCAAGAAAGACACTGAGGGGCTGGAGTGGGTCCAGAGGAGAGCAACGAGGCTGGGAAGCAATGAGGCTGGGGAAGGGACTGGAGGGAAAGTCCTGTGAGAAGAGGCTGAGGGAGCTGGGTGTGTTTAGCCTGGAGAAGAGGAGACTCAGGGGGAACCTTCTCACTCTCTACAACTGCCTGAAGGGAGGGTGCAGTCGGGTGGGAGTCGGGCTCTTTTCCCAGGCAACTGGTGACAGGACGAGAGGGCACGGCCTGAAGCTGCGTCAGGGGAAGTTTAGTTTAGATATGAGGAAACGCTTCCTCATGGAGAGGGTGATCAGGCACTGGAATGCCCTGCCCAGGGCAGTGGTGGAGTCACCGTCCCTGGAGGTGTTTAAGGAGAGGCTGGATGTGGCACTCAGTGCCGTGGTCTGGCCGATGTGGTGGGGTTAGGTCATAGGCTGGACCTGAGGATCTCGGAGATCTTTTCCAGCCTCAACAATTCTGTGATGCTGTGATTTTTGTAGTTCTAGTGTTTGTTCATTTCCACTATATATGGTACAGTCATTACCTCTGCATGCTTTTAAAGGGGCACTGGAGTTGGTGTCAGAAATGGTGCTATGTTTCCAATATGACATTGCAGTCATATTGCAGTATAGTCCAGGTACAGAGTATAGCCTTCATCATTTTAGCATTTGGAGATTTTTAAGTGAAAGATATATTAATCAACAGTTCCAGCAGTTAAAAGAGGTGCCATCTTTCGAATACTTGTTACAGAAAATCTGCACCACAGTGACTTTTTGCACAACAGAGTAAGGAAGCCTGACAATATGTGCACTGATGTTTTGTCAGGGGACAATGTGTCAACTTTCCCTTTTCTTTCTCAGGAAATTTGACAACATCTACTTTGGCTGGGGTCACAAATACAGTCCCGAGAACCACACTCCTGCACTGCCTCTGCCTGTGCAAGCAGAGTACCCCAGCGGGCCAGAAATCACTGAGACAAGAGACCCCACTCTGGAAGAGGAACTGGCTTTCAAGGCTGCGAGGGAAGAAGCTTTAGCTGCAGCCGAGGAAGAGGAGGAAGACGACGAAGATGAGGAAGAGGAGGAGGAGGAGGATGACTAAAATGTGGGAGAAAACCTATTTTTATGTTGAAAGTTTAAACATTAATAGAATCTTCACAGTCATTAATAAGCTGGCCTTAGAAGAAATGTAATTGGAGTGTGCCTTTACTGTTTGATTTGTGTCGAAGATGGCGAGACATATGTGCAGCGTGGACTGGTCTGCTTTGCTTACTTGCATGCCTTAATTTTATGGACAAGGATAATTTTAGTGCAGGAATAGTTGGGGTTGTTTTTCTTTTTTTTTTTTTTTTCCCGAAGGGCGGGCACACGCCTGAAACAAAACGCCTTGAAAAGGAGCGAGTACCGTCCTCCGGGCGCTCGCGTTGGTTTTCTAACCCACGTTTCAATACCTAGATAAATTTTACTTAAACAAACAAAAAGTAAACTTAATTACACAGCAGCGTCACTTTTGCGTGTGACAGCGCTATCTAAATTCAGCAGATGGCTTATCAAGTTACCGGCCGAGCGCACCGCTTCGTGTCCGCCGA